TTAGGAGGATCCGATCCATAAACCACCTTTTCGAGAGCCCACTGCACTATCCGCTCCGCCATCAGTCGAGCACGAAACTGCTGTTGCGGGTATCGTTGAAGTAACTTCGGCACTACTCTCCATGCCTTTTTTTACTTTATTTTGCTCTCTTTTAATACATAGTTAAGGAGCACCTTATAAACTATGCACTCTCAAATTTGCAGCTACAACAGAGCCCAATAAGCCGGTTAAAATCGCCCTTTCTTGTCAAATTGTTTTCACTCATTTTTTGGCATTCCCATAAACGCATAGCAAAAACGAAACCTTTTTGTGACCCTTATATGGACCCCTACAACATGCAACAAACCTGTTTTTAAAAAGCGCCCCATGACCTGAAATACCTCCCTTGTTAGTCGTGTAGAACAAAATCTCGCGGATTTTCTTACCCTTTCACTTCGCTTTTTCGCCCTATTCCAGTATATAGCAACTCTGCTACCATTTCAGACCGAGTACCAAATTATCGTACCTTGTGCCTTTATAGACTTAATGTTACATCACGGCATTCCTTAGAGTATTTCAGGGGTTGCATGTGACTGCGCCCATGCGTGTACGTTTGAAGAGCAAGATGATGGAACAGTAACGTCGAAATGTTATTGCCATAGCGGTTTCGTACTGGCTAGCGATCAAAAATCATGCGAGCCCTCCACTGAGTCTCCAACAGCATACACGATTGTTAGAGTACGTTTTTATTTAACTACCAATCCTATTCGGCAGTAATCGCTTCATTGAAAACGTTTAGGTAACACCACCGGCCTTCGCAACGGAAGTGCAACCGGAGGAAATATCGTCTACCGATCTGAGTGCATCGCCACTACCAACTGGACTGGACGGGAAAACCATGGAATTCGGCGAAACCAAATCATCCATACGACCCACAGACTCAAGTGGACGGGAACTTCCATTAGTAGTCGGACCAGACGGTGTTCCTCTTAGCGTCAATGCTGATGGGGAACTGGTTGATAACAACAACAGCCCTATTATTATTGAAGACGGAGAACCACGAGATCCATATGGCAATCCATTGCCACGAAATAAAGAAGGAGCTTGGATATACCCCCTCATTGACAAAAGTGGAAAACCACTTCCTGCTGATGAAAACAACATGCCAAAAATCAGTGTCGTTGCGGCCGATGGTACTGAAATTACTGTGGATGAGAACGGAAAACTTATTGCATCAGATGGTCGTGTGATTCCAACTGATGCTATTGGGAGGCCACTCGATGAACACGGAGAACCATATGAAATCAATGAAGACGGACAATTCGTGGTTGAATTGATAGACAGTGAACCTGAGATCGAGGAGGAGGACAGGCCGAGTATTCCTCTACTGACAGTCGATGGAGAGCCTCTAACTGTCGACGAAAGTGGACACTTTGTTGACTCAACGGGTGCAATTATTCCAACAAATGAGGAGGGGATACCTGTGGATGAATATGGAACCCCACTAAAGAAGAATAAGGATGGAGAATACATTCTGCCATCGAAGAAGGATGCGACAACATTACCACCACATCCTACCGATGAGAGCGGGAATATAATATACCCTATAAGGAAACCAGACGGGTCATTCCTTCCAACAGATGCAACAGGAAATTTCGTCACAGAAGACGGAGCAGTAGTAGAGAGGGACGAGGAAGGAAGACCAATGGGACCCGGAGGAGAAGTTCTTCCAACAGATGATGCCGGAAATTACATATATCCTGCTCTAGGACCGGATGGAAGCCCTCTACCAACAGATGAACACCAACGACCCATTCATCCAGTCCTTGGATCAGACGGATCCCCTCTCCCAACAGATGATTCTGGCCATCCACTCGGAGAAGACGGTAGACCGATACCAACTGACCGCAGTGGAGTTCCTTTGGACAAGGATGGACAACCGCTACCTACTGACAGCAGTGGACATTACGTCACTGTGCCACGAGAGGAAGCTGCTAGCAAGGAACTACCAACAGACGAGAGCGGAAATGTTATCTACCCAGTGACAAAACCCGACGGGTCACCTCTGCCTACCGATGCTTCTGGAAACTTCGTCACAGATGAGGGAACGATAATCGAGAAAGATGAGGAAGGCCGTCCCCTTGGACCAGACGGACAAGTTCTTCCCACAGACGAGACAGGAAACTTCATCTACCCTGTGGTTGGGCCTGATGGAAGTCCGTTACCCACTGATGAGCACAAACGACCCATCCATCCGGTTCTTGGACCTGACGGATCTCCT